CAGTGAGATGACGCCCTCGGAGGGCTCGCTGGGGGTCAGCTGAGCTACTGTAGGTAGAGGCTGGAGCTGTTGCTCTCCTGACCCTAAACTGATATGCTGGTCATTTCAGTGTGATCTGTCTCAGTTGTATATTTTTACTGCTGCTTACAAGACGTACCTACAAACTCAAAATCTAGCCGCACACATTTCAGCTCTCAGATTCTAAAGAACTAGAAAAATCAATGTCCGACCGTAAAAAGATAACCAAGTACAAAAAAAAAAATTTTTTTTTAATCTTTGCTAGGGATACCACCGTACTAAGAACACACGGCATGGGTAATTTTTTCACTGTGCTCTTTTTGGAAATTTCCACTGCTCTTTCATTTCACCCATCGTGAGTCCCTAATAGACTGGTACAGGGAAGAGCCTAGCGAGTCAGGTAGGAAAGTCCGGGCTGTGGCGGGGGAGGGGGGCGGATCACACTTGGAGGTCAGCATTTCCAAAAGTCTCCTGAAAACTTAGAACTTTCAAGTGATAATTACAACCGGATGTAATAAATTCAGGGTGTGGGTTTTTTTCAGTGCTTCAAAGCTTCGGAAGTCAAGGAAGTAGGTTTTCCCCAACACTTAGGGAAAACATCTTGACGTAGGTTGAAAATAAAAGGTGGTGGGCGTCCTTCCTTCCCACGGGGCACCTGAGATGGGCAAACACTTCCATTTCCCAAAACCGTGATCTCAGATTTTAAGTTTTGCTCTTAGAACACAGCGTAAGTCTTACCACCTCTGCCGCTTGCGACACTAGTTACACAGAACACACGAGCCACACGTGGAACGAACAGCTCGACGTTGGCTTTCGGGCAGTTCCACGACTGCTCCCCAGGCGAACCCATAACCGACCTCACAGTCTAGCAATTGCACTCCAGGGCACTGAGCCCACAGAAATGGCAACTTACGTACACAAAATATTAACAGAGCCCCAAACTGGAAGAAACTCAGAAAGTCCTTCAATGGGGATAAACAAACCGTGGCAGAGCCACACAACAGACCCAACAGTACAAAGGAACAGACCATGTGGGTAGATCTCAAGGGTGTTACGCACAGAGAAAAAGCCAGTCTTAAAAACGACATACTTAGTATACCGACCAACACAGGTGATGAACTCGTATAGCATTTCTCACACACACACACACACACACACACACACAGTAACAGAGTACCACAGGCTGGGTGGCTTATAAAAACACCCAGAAATACACTTCTCACAGTTCTGCAGCCTGCAAGTCAGAGATCAAGGTGGTGGCAGACTTGGTGTCTGGTGAGGGCCCACTCCTGACTTACAGACGGTGCCGTCCCACTGTCCTCACATGGCGGGAGGGGCAGGAGCTCCCTGGGGACTCTCGGTAGAGCACCGACCCCCTTAGTGAGGGCCGCCCTCTGACACCTCCCAAAGGCCCTGCCTTTGAGGGTAAAACTCAGGAGAGGAGAGAAGCTCTGGCCACACTCCGGATTGTCACACACGCGGATGATTCCCCGGCGTCCAGGAGGAGCTGAGTCCCCTGCGTAGGACAGGCTGAATTCAGAGAAATCCAGGGTCCCCCGTGCTCCCTCTTCCCAGGGCAGTGTGCTGGGATGGGCTCTGTGAAGACACAGTGCAGGTCTATGTCCCGTCGAAGGGACACCTTCCCCTGTGGGTCTCCCGCTTTCCAAAGCAACTGTGGGAGGCAGACCTGTCAGTGGGGAAGGAGCGGGCCACGCGGCTCCGGCACAGTGTGGATGTGGAAGGCCACGCTTCAGGTGTTGTGTGGGAATACCAGGGCCTGTATCTGGGACCGTGGGACCCAGGGAGGGGAAACCTCAGCTCCATGGGGAGCAGGGAAAGGGTGGGAGGGCTGGTCTCAGCCAGCTCTGTCCAGGCAGCTCAGGGCCGCCCCTGGTAACCGTGCTGACTGCGTCACCACACAACTGTCATCGTTTGCCCATGTCACTGCAAAGCAAGGACCCGCTGATGTTGATGCACTCAAGCCAGACATTAAAACTGACCAGAGATGGCAGGCGTGGCCCAGCCACCTCCCCCTTTCTGTCGGAACTTGTTTTTAACGCGTGTGAAAGCACTGTTCACGGGTGGGTGCCTCCCATGGCTGTTGGCGGAGCCAACCACTACCTGACGTTACCAAGGGGCACAGGATGCTGTTGATGAACCAGGAGAGGAGGAACAGCGCCCGCCATCTACACTGCCCGTGATGCCCTGGAAGGTCGACCACGTGCAGGGCCGAGCCGGCCTGGTGCACTCAAGACGGGGCTCAGAAAGCGTCGGATGTTAAATGAATGAACCCTTCACTGGCCAAGTGAACTGCTACCTGATGCTATCAAGTGTGTAACACAGCATCTCAGAGTCCAAATCCTTAGAAGATCAGATGACATTTCAAATGTCTCATTACTTTAAAACGACCATCCCTAACAAATAGGAATATATAGTCTGATATTTGATCAATAAGGGATCGTTCCAGACCACCAGCCCAAAGAAATGCCTGGATGAAGCTTTCCCCTCTGACGACTCACCTTTTTTTGTCTGTTCTCTCTAATCTAAACTTTGCAAAAAATACTACGTGCACCTTCTTTGTTGCCTTTTTTTAATCCCTGGGAAGGCCCCTGAGACCTCACAGAATGTTCCCGGGTCCCAAACTACAGAGAAATCAAAACGGCGGAGGCGGAAGGAAAACAACTGTTCCCCAAGTACATGGAACGTGTCAGCTACCTGAAAGGGGAAGTCTGAGAGAGGCCAGTGATCGAAAAACACAGGTCACAGCACCTTTTATTTGTTGTTAAACAAACTGATGGGACACGAAATACACTGAATTCTCCAAACAGTCTCAATATGTTTCGAAACCAATGGCAAAGTTACTGACAGGGGCTCAAGCTGGGAAGCCACGAGCCTCACGCCTTTGGACACCGTAGCTGGGAAAAAAAGTATCAAGTCTGTGAATCTGCCTCCCAAGTGGTTTCCTGTGGGACACAGAGGTGGCACCTGGCACAGAGAACGCGTCCCATGGGACGGCCGATCCAGAGGCCCAGTCCCTTCCTGGCTGCCGAGCTCGGAATTCAGGCGTCTGAACTGGGGCCCAGCTCTGCAAGGTTCACCCCGCCTTGTGGCCCAGAACGACACATTACAAAGTCACAGGCCTGAAATAAATTCTCATGATTTATTAATTTAAAACAACCAAGATGGATTCACAGAGCCTGGTGGCCACAGAAGCTGAGCCTAATTTCCAGCTACAGCTGTGCACCCGGGATCAGTTGAAAAATGAAACATTTCCGTCTGTAAACAGTGATGCAGGCGCAGAGCATCTGCGATCAACCACTCTGGGCCAAGGAGACCTTGGTGTCCTTACTCCCCACGCACACTCAGAGCAACTGTCCTGAGACAACCTGAACCCATTCGGCCTCACACAGTGACCCTGTGAAACCAAATCCATCTACAGGAAACTCAGGAGTACATCTCACTTCTATTTGGAGTCCTCACTTGTTATAAGAGGAAGTATTATTGTGCGTCTGTTATTGAAATAAACGGGGTCGTGCACCAGGCCACACAGCCTAAGTTAGGCTCTTTAAGAACACTGGATGCATTCTTACTCTAGGCACAAACACGACCTCTTTAAAAAAATAAAACTGTGATTTAAAGGCCTTTGTTTCACAGGGAAGAAGACAGGTGCTAGCAGATGCTTAATCATGTTTGGGGTTTTTTGGACTTGGTCATTCGCCCTATATATTCTGCAAATGCAAAAAGAAAGTTAGTGACTTTTAAAAAATATCCTAGGAACGAGGCCTGGCATTCTGGGCGATCCCGTGGACACCTGGGCCCCTTAGATTTGGAGAACAGAGACACCGTTTTAGAAAATCTATCACCCCTCGCCCAAATTCCTTCGATGAAACTATTATGTAAAAAGCAGTTAATTATATACATAAATAACATAAAAATAATTATCATAAATTAAAAAGGCAAACAATCTCCCACAATTCGGTAACTGAGGTGAGGTGCGAGCTGGGAGTGTGTGAATGGGCTGTGTGTGACCCGAGCTCCGCAGGCCCACGTCACGTGCCCCTGGCGACGGATCTCCGCAGTCTGTGAAGGCGTGTATTGCACAAAACCAATTCTAGCCCTAGCCTCAGAATCTCACAATCTGGAATAAAGTGAAGTGCCGAGAAAATTCATTTTGTGTAACAAATGGTCCTTAGCCTCACGGGCAGCATGAGATAACCGGGCCTCGTTCACCCACCGCTGACTCCTATTTAGTATTTCTTCTAGGTGGCCTCCCAGATCACACAGGGTCTGGGACAAAGAGTGCTCGAGGACAAATAAGGCAATTTTAACACTTCATTTTGGACAGCGTTAAGAAAATATGAGGAGAGTAAAAATCAAGCTTGTTTCTGTTTCGGGGTGAGCAGCGGTGGGGCTGGCTGCTCGCAAGGGCGTGGGCGCCAAGGGCATGTCCCACTCAGCACGTCCACTGGGGGCACCGGTGGCCCCACTGTGAGCCGGCCTCCGCCTTCGTTACTGCCTGGCAGCAAAGGGCAGCATCATTGTTTCACGAAAACCTATGCTTTCCAAGCTTATTCGACATTGTGACAGAAAACTGGTCTTGAGCCACGTCAACCTTTGGAATAAAAATTTAAACAGGAAAAACCACGAATTTCTTCCCTGTTCTTCAGTTCAGGGGATGTTGGCTGAGCCGGCCATGATAAACGTATGTGGTGGCAGGGAAGCCACACCCGAAGGTGCCACCAGCAGGGACAGCACCAGGCTTCCTTGTTGCACACAACTGTGTGCCCCTTTGCACCAGGGCAGTTGTGTAGAATTGGAGGCGGACCAACAGTCCTACAGTGCAAACGACTTTAGCATGTTAAAACAAAAAATTAAAAAACATGGCCACAACAGAGTCTTGAATACATAACTTATGCTTGACATAAAGTTAAAAAAAGAAGAAGAAATGATCCTGAAAATTAATTCATGTACTAAATTACCACGAGACCTTTATGCCCGAGTCAGTGACCTCACATGGCGCCTTGCCCGGGATGAACCTGAAGGCCAGAGGAGGGCCGTGTGCTCACAGCCATCTTCTCACACATGGTTTCAGCCCAAAGTTGTAAAACAAACTCGACTCAACTGAGATTTCAAAGAGACTCAATGTTACTTTAACTTCTACCTGCTCCCTTGCAAAAAATATCCAGAAGCAAGAAGGCTGCTCGTCATGGCAGCTTGTTGCCACCTGTGAAGACTGCCTATGTTTTGATACAGTAACAGTTCTAAAGGAAAAAGAAAAGGAACCACTTATGCTCCTAATAACATAGCACTTGCCTCTTGTGATCCTGCTTCTCTTGACGTTTCGCTTTCCCCAGCCCGTGTCCACCACACTGGGTTTGGCTGGGGAAGGCTGGGGGCGAGGCCACGGCCCAGCCAGCTGCCCGGCTAAGGCGGCGCCTGCAACCTGCTCGCATCACAGCTGGCCTGCTGCACTCACGCTGGCAGACCATCATGGTTGCTGGGGGCTTTGGAGATAATTCTGCAAAAGCTAAGTCAACCTTACTTACATTGCAATTATGATTTCTTTTTCTTTGTTTGGTATCCAGCAAACAAATCTCAGCATTAAACAAGGAAACCTAACTGAGGTTCCCTTTGCAAGTTTTCCACCAGGTGCCTCAGTAGCTATACATCTGCTGCTGCTGCTCAGCCTGCACCTGGGGTTGTGCCGCCTGCGGTGGGGGGGCCTGTGTCTGGGGGGCTGGCAGCACGTCAGTCTGGGGCACTGCCCGCCACGTGAGCGGGTGCTGGTCACTGAGCTGGTTCCCCAGGGGCGTGATGGAGTTGACCAGCGTGGTCAGATTGATGAAGTGGGCCACAGACTGTGGGTTTGAGGTTTCCGGCTGGGGGTGCAGCTGGATGTCGTTCTGGCGGTTGTGCAACATAGCGGAGCCACTGACGGTATCAAACGTCACGGTCAGGATAGGGTTGTCCAGCTGCAGCTGACGTTCCGGGGTGGTTAGGTGCCCAACGGCCACTGGCTGGAGGTTGGTGAACTGAGTCCCGGCTGCCGTGGTGATGGGTGTCACGGTGATGTTGGTCAAGCCAACTGAGCTCGAAGGAGTGGTCACATTTGGGTCACCCAGAGTCACCACCACCTGGAAGAGCCACAGACAACATAAACCAGTTAATAGCTCTCATACAAGGGAGAAGACAAGCCTCCCTCTCCGCACTGTGACAGAGGCGGAGTTACGCTGGAATAGCCATGCCCGAAGGAGGGGGCGAAGCACACTAGGGAAAAGATTAAATCACGTCATTTTGACCTGAAACAATAACTCTAGTGAAGGGGAGAAACTATATACAGACATAATCATAGAGGCCATGAAGTAGGACTGAGAAATTACTTCACTGGCTAGAAAACAACAGAGGAAAGTAAAAACGAGGAAGATGGGAAGCACAAACTTCACTGGACATTCGGTCCTCTGGGGTGCCCTGCTGTTGGTCAACGAGCAGCCCAACTAGAAAGCTCTAAGGGCAATGAACGAATCTGCAGTAGTGACCGCTAATAAATAACAAAGAAGCAGCTTCCTCCTCAAGCAGAGGGATGGAGGGCCAGGCAAATGCAGGATGCCTGTGCAGAATCAGCCACACACGGATGAAAGATCTGGGGGCCTCAAACCAAAGGGAGGGAGGTGAGCCAGTTGGAAGATTCTGTTCTAGGAGGCAGACTGGCTGGCCACCAGTGCTGGATTCACAATGACAAGTCATTTCTAGGTAGGATGGGAGAGCGCTGACGGCAGCCACAGGCATGTTAGACAGGGCAGGGAGCAGGTGCACGTGGGGTCCCCCACACCCAGGCCAGCTGCCCCTGCACAGTGACCGGGCCCCCCCTCCAGACTCCAGCACAGCAAACAGCCACCTGCTGGATGCTCTGCACTGCAGAGTCAGTCTCGTCGCCCACGCCGCCCGTGAACGCGGGCTCCTTCTCCGAGTACTCGCTGAAGGCCGCATCCTCCGGCACAGGCGCCCCCGCCTCCTCCTCCGGCTTCTGCTTCCTCTTGTGACTTCTCCTGGTTGCTTTCACGGGCTTCCCTTCCGCCAGATCTTCCTGCTCCAGACCCAGTTCAGGCTGTAGGAGGAGAAGTTTCAGCAACACGCAGGTCAATGGGTCACGACCCACAGTGGCCAGCGTGGTCCCAACATGGTCCCCCGACACTCCAGGTCAGCGGTGAGGCTCTCGGGCCACCCAGCTGCCACAGGAAACAGAGTGACCACAGTTTATCTGCTCGCTTGCATTTCTAAAGATTAAGGCAAGTTTCAGGATTTTTTTGTTAAGTGGAGGAAATTACATACAAGTCATATTTTTCAAATCTATATTTTGTGATGAAAAATAAATAGAAATATAAAAACAAAAATTTTAAGCTACTGCTTCAGCCCTGATGAGCTCAGCCTGAGGCTGCAAATGTTTTCACAGAAGGCTCTCATCCCCAGAATCAATCTTGGATCAAAACTGGTTTGACCACAAGAACGAGACAGTCATCTCCTTTGGGGACAGCAAATAGGCCCAGCCAGGACGGTGCCCCACACACTTCTCTGAGCACTGTGCTCAAAACACCACTTCAAAAGAAAGAAGTATAAATGGAACTTTAAATAGCTCAGGGTGTGACATGTTCTCTTTATAATGAAAGAAAATTTTTATAAAAGTATTGACTAAAAACTCCTGGAAAAAGTAGGTTCATCTAATACATCTAAAGTGAATTTTCTTATAACAATCTAATTATGCTAAGCTTTCCTAGAAACCATCGGCAATGGTTCATTTTAACTGTCAACTCAGCTGGGCTAAGGAGCCACTTGTTTGGTCAAAACCAGTCTAGATGTTGCTGTGCAGGTATTTTTTAGATGAGATTAACATTTAAATCAGTGGACGTTGAGTCAAGCAGATTGCCCTCTATATTGTGGGTGGGGCTCGTCCAATCAGGTGAAGGCCGTATGAGAAAAGATTGAGATGCCTGGAGGAAAAGGGAATTCTGCCTCCTTTGGCCTTCAGTCTTGAGTTGCAACATCAACTCTTCCTTGGGTCTCCAGTCTGCCCTCTGCCCTGCAGATTTTAAACTTACCAGCCTCCACATTACATAAGCTCATTCCTTAAAGTTCTAGAAACTTAAAAGGTTCTTGGGGAGAAGGCTGACCGAAAAGACAGAGTGTGAAACGAAGGTGAGACACAAGGCACGGACTATGGGGCTTCCCAAAGAGCTCCCAACACCTGCCTGAGTTCTGGAGGCCCCGCCCGCAGGCATCTGCGTATCTAGAAGTCCCCACGCGACGCCAGCCCTGTAGGGCCGCTCTGTGCTCACCTGCACGATGCCGATGGAGGAGGCGTCAATGGTGGTGGTCTCTGGGAGGTGGTCCAGGTCATCGATCCTCACGGCCAGGACCTACACGAGAGTGCGGGGCAGTGAGCCGGGGATGACACGCCTTACTTCCTCCTGGGCATTCCCCATGTTTCTGACCGGGTCCACACAGGACTGACCTTGGAACCTTGCTTCCAGAATCCCACCCACGCCTGTCCTCCCCTCACACCACAGGCCCTCATCTCAAGCGTCTGCAATGAACTTGCACACGGAGGGTCCCCTGAACCTGTCTGGCATCGCTTCATGCCCACCCACCATGCCCGAGGGGGACACTGCATTTCCTCCCCTGTTTGCCTACTAATGTGCTTTCAGTAAGTGACATTTCAGTGAATCTTATTATTTCAAACCAATGTCCCGTAAGGAATTACCAAAAATGAGGCATTTATACCTTTTTAAACACTTGACTTTTCAACTTGGCCCACATGCGGGTACTTCCGCCCCCACCCTCCCCCTCCGTGAGCCACACTGCCCGGCCCCGAGTGTGCAGAAGCCACGCTGCACACTCTCCGGGCAGCAGAAGCGCCACGCGGACGGCAGAGGGAGCGGGCGTGCGGGGCGGGGAGGAAGGAGGCTCACCTCCGGGTGCTTGCGTCGCATGTGCCTGCTCATGGAGGCCCTGGTGGACACCTTGGTCCCGCACAGGTGGCAGCTCTGAGCCTCGACCTTGTCGTGGGTGAGCTGCACGTGCTTCTGCAGCATGTACTCGGTGACGTATTTCTTGTCACACACGGAACACGTCCACTGCTTGCCCACTTCACACACACACGCACACATACACACACACACGCATGCACATGCACACACGCATACGCACACGGGAGGAAAGCACAATTACAGGTCATGAGCGAGGCTGTCCCACAGCCCACAGGACAGCCAAGTAGGGTGCTTCACCCTATACGTGTGCTGCGGGATGGTCGCCCAGGTCGGGCCACAGGGACAAGCACAGCCCGGGACGAGTATGACAGAGGCTCCTCCCTCACTGAGCACAGCACCACGTCATCGCTCCAATATTTGAAAATTTAGGAACAGGTATTTGAAAGTTGTATTGGGCTGATTGTTAGGGGGCAATGGGCCACCATTAAGGCAGGACAACAGCAAACAGTCTAAAACAGTCCGCGCTGTGGGGTCACACGGCCGTTCCCATCCTGTACCAGGGCCGCACATGCAGCCAGGCACCCTGCTTACCTGTGTGGATGAGCTTATGGGTCTCCATCGTGTTTCTCTCACTGAAAGTCTTCCCACACAGTTCACACATGAAATCTTTAATCCCTGCAGGAAAAGGCACATGGGCTTCAGACGTGTTCCTAGTGCTTTAACTACACACAGCGGGTGTCTTGTCCCTGACACAGCTGGTATCTGGAGAGGCGCCAGGGAAGGCAGAGCGCCGGGGGACAGACAGAAACCTTCACTGCCAGTCATCAGAAAGCTGTGGCCTGGAAAACCTGCCCTCTGCGGGTGGCTCAGCAAGGCCCTTCCGGGAAGGGAGGCAGGTCGGCTGCAGCCCGGGGCCCCCGGGACCGCTGGTCATTCTCAACGGGCAGAATCCAATCTAATGAGCTTTATTCTGCACTAGCTCACGACATGGGAGGGCAGACGCCATGTTTAGGAAACTCAGGTGTTTACTGTGAAGGTTTCCATCAGCTTTGTCCTAGGCCCCAGTGTCCCCTCAGTCACTCAGTCTGGGGCAAGCACCCCACTTGCCCGCAACTTGGGCCCGGACTCACCGACGTGCCGCTTGTAGTGCTTGAGCATGTTGACCTTCTGGGCGAACCTGCGGTGGCACTCCTTGCACTCGTATTCCTTGATGCCCTTGTGCAGCTTCATGTGGTGGCGCAGCGCGTGCTTGGTCTTCATGCCTGCCGGACGGAGGCAGCTGGGCACCACACGGCTGCCCGGGCCACTGTGTCCCTGCCCAGGGCCCCCCACAGTGCCCGCACCCAGATTCCCCATCCCATGCCCTCGTCCTGTCCCTGCCCCTATGCTCAGGGCCCAGAATGGCCACACCTCATACTCTTGGGCAGGCACAGGTGCCAGTGACTGCAGAAAGGGTGAAGGGAAGGACAGGGCTGGGGGCTCGTCTCTGAAAGGGTCTCCCACCAACGGGGAGGCAGGCAGTTGTGCCATTGAAGGCCCTTTAAGATTTATTGTCTGCCCGGCTGGGCGTGGCTCAGCGGTTGAGCATCGACCTAGGATCCAGGTGATCGGGGTTCGAATCCCGGTCAGGGCACATGCCCGGGTTGCAGGCTTGACCCCCAGTCCGGGGCGTGCAGGAGGCAGCCGATCAATGACTCTCATCATTGATGTTTGTATCTCCCTCTCCTTTCCTCTCTCTGAAATCAATGAAGATATATTTAAAATATATATATATTAAAAAAAAGATTTATTGTCAAGGTCTAGACAGTTCATCTCGTCAATGGCAGCCCCACCCTGACGGTCAGAGCACCAAACAAGGAGAACTACAGGTGAACGCCCCAAGCGTACTATTGTGACTCGGTAGAGTCATCTGGAAGAGCTGCGCCAGCTGCCTGCCAGCTGCCTGGAGTTTCCGGTTGATGTCGGGGATGGGAAAGTACTAAAGGTCGGGAACAAGGCCCCTGGGCGGTCTAGCTCTGTAGTCGAAGCACGGACTTTAACCTACCTTCACAAGTCAAGCTTTGCTGAAGGAGGTGAAACAAGCTACCACCTTACTCAAGCCAGTGGAGAAGGGACCACCAGGTCCGGTGTGAATTAGGGGCTGAGGGTCTCAGCCTGGGACACCCACCAGATGGGCAATGCCAGTGTGGGGGCTGTGGGGCTGCAGGCAGGCGCGCTCTGGAGCAGCATGCAGCAGCTCACAAGCACAGGGCAGGCACATCCGGTCCCACCTGCCGCAGGTTTACCCAGCAAGTGACAGTGGATGGGTCACCACTAACTCGCCACCACGCAGAAACTGGCTGCTGCCAGGGGCACCGTGGGGGCAGAACCACCTGGTTGTGCTCTCTCATCAGCCATGGAACTGGCCAGGCGAAGACAGCAGAGGGAGCAGGAGTCCCTGAAATGCTGTCACCTGTCTCGGACACTCAGAAAGCGGTTCCGAGGCTATGGGGTGGGGAAGATGTGTGTGAGTGGGCCTCGCACCAACTGTGGGGCAGCACTTTTCCCTTTAAAAAGTCACACACTGCCCGGCCGGGCGTGGCTCAGCGGTTGAGCGTTGACCTAGGATCCAGGCAATCAGGGTTCGATTCCCAGTCAGGGCACATGCCCGGGTTGTGGGCTCGATGAATGACTCTCATCATTGATGTTTCTCTCTCTCCCTCTCCTTTCCTCCCTCTAAAATCAATAAAGCTATATTTTAAAAAATTAATTAATTAAAAAAAAAAAGTCAGACACACCCAATAGTGAAAAAACTACAGATGACACACGGTTAGCCCAGGACAGCACTCCAGCAGCCTTGCCTTTCAGGTCATGCTAGCACCGGGACACACTCCTGGGCACATTCTGGCCACACACCCCAGGACCCTTGGCTGTTGGCTCTACCGTTTGACGCTGTCTCAACCGCAGGCACAGCCTGACTACAGCACTGCTTTCAACAGTGCACACTGCTCATGGCCTGTATTTGTTCATTAGAGACCCTCAAGCTCCTACCACAGCCCCACGCCGTTCTAGGTGCCAGAGGCCAAGCAGAGAGTCAACCAAGGTCCCCAGCCTCTCCGCGGAGGGGCAGACAAGCAAAGGCCAAGTGTCTCATGACAATGGACAAAGAGAAACGTGACAAAGCAGAAGGGGTGGCAGGAGGGGAGGCGGCCAGGACGCTGGCTCATTGCAGGGGGCCTCAGGGGAAGCATCTGAAAAAGTGACCTGGACACAAGGGTGGGGCCCAGAGCTACTTGGGGGAACAGCATTCCTGGTGGGGGAACAGCCAGTGCAGAGGCCCTGAGGCCACTGTAATTAATTCCTCAGTGTTTTAAACTATCCCGTCACAAACAGTGCACCAGTGAACACATCTTCACATAAACACATCCTGAACTGCAGATAAACAGATACTTCTAGCTGCAGCTAACTTCCCAAATGCCCACGCCAACTGTACACATTTACACTCCCACCCACACTCCGCCAGAGTGCCTGCCTCCTCCCCTCACAGCACGGCTGCTCCCCAGACTGCCTGGCACAGCGGCATCTTGGCTTTGACCCTTCTTGGGACGGTCACTGCAGGGCCAGCACTCAATGGATAAATGAACATAAGGCAGCTGGTCTTTACTGTTCCGCCCCATCCAGCACCTCTCCCCTGTGCATCTAAAATGCACTTAATCTAAATCGCAAAAATAACACATGGTCATAAAAAACGACAACAAAAACCACAGAAAATGCTCAGAAGTAGAGAGACAACAAAGTCGGCCCCCGTTCTGACCTCCCTGTCCCAGCCAGTGTTGGTGACACTCACGGTTTCCTTTCCAGTTTAAAAAAACTGTATCTGAGAACAGTTTTGAAATGCACATGACTGCCACACAGTGGACGTTTTAGGGTGACATTTTAAGGCTCCCTGCTGTGATTGTGATGCCGTCTGCATCGCCTTTACAACCTACTTAGGAGAAAATAGATACTGTTTTAAATGCTCAGAATTCCCAAACCGGGAATGGATCCCTTTTTCTGCCTCTGACGGCCTGGCGCTCCTCACGCAGGCCACAGGGCTGTCTCACCCGGATTTGTCCTGAGCATTCCAAGGTGCGTGATGCGTTTTGGAACAAGGTATTTTCCTGTTATCCTCAGCTACTACTGCTGTACATGGAACCCCCGGGTGTGGCGCTGGCCCCCCGCTGCTGGGTTACAGGACTCGCATTACTTCCAACAGCCTCTCACTGGAAGTCCCGGTCAGACCTCGACGCCTGCGGTGACCCCTTTCCCTTCGATGTGCCAGTTCTCACACACCCTCGGAGCTCCTCGGCTGGTGGCACGCCTGTGACCCAGGGGTCTGCTCGTGGCCGGGCGCCCCACCCCGCACGTACCTTTCCCGCACTCGGCGCACAGGTACTCCCGGATGTTGTCATGCACACGCATGTGCTCCTTCAGCATGTCCTTCCTGGCAAAGGACTTCCCACACTGCTCACAGGCATGGCTCTTCACACCTAACAAACAAACACATCCAAGTTTCAAGCCTGTGCGGTCCTCATCCCTGGTTAAGGCACAAAGGCAGTAACTGGGAGGGATGCTGTTCCCTACGGCGGGAGGCACGGAGCCATCCCTTCCTCCACCTCTTCAGAACCTTCCTTTGGGCTCTGCAAGGAGGCGGTCCCGAGGACCTGAAGGGGGCGATGAGGCAGGGAAAGGCCATGCTGGGAACAGACAGGGTGGACAGAAGTGGGGACAGAAGAATGCATCGAGGGGGACGATGCAGACCGCTCTGCGCAGGAGCCCTGAGAGAGCCGGTCTACCCTGCTCAGCTTGGGGCCTGCGTCCTGACAGAACACCTGCCTGTGTGGATGAGTTTGTGCCGCTCCAAGTTCCCGATGCTGTTGAAGATCCGCCCGCAGATCTCGCAGGGATGAATGTACCTGAAACCAGACAGAAGCCTCAGGGTGGCCCCACACCCTCGGGGGCCATCTGCAGCAGGTACGTCTTTCCTAAGCACCGTGAGACCAAAAGGTGAGACCACAAATGTACAACACAGATGACAAAAGACACAAAGATTTTAGGGCTGTCATGATCTTAACGTGTCTCTCCACTCAAATCCATGCTTAAGCCCCGACCCCCAGTTCCCCAGAATGTGACTGTATTTGGAGACTGGGTCTCAACAAGTGATTAAGTTAAAATGTGGTCACTGGAGTAGTGTCTTTATAAAAAGGGGAAATCAGGACACAGAGACTTGGGTAGAGAGATGACCATGTGAAGACACAGGGAGAAGACAGCCGTCGACAAGCCGAAGAGAGGAGCCTGGAGCAGATTCTCTCTAGCAGCCTGAGGGAACCAGCCCTGCAACACCTTGATCTCGGACCTCAGGCGTCCAGCACTGAGACAGCACATTTCTGTTGCTGAAGCCGCCCACGCCGTGGCGCTCTGCACAGCGGCCCAAGCTGGTCACTGCAGCATCAGGCCACTGTAGCCTCTAACCGTCCACTCGCTCGCTCAGGCTCAGGGCACTGATTCCGGCCGCGGCCAGATGGGGGGCTGGCCTTCAGGGACCCTGACCACTGGGGGAAGGGCTTTGGAGGCTCTGCGGGCCCGTATGCAGCTGCTCCTGCTGAGTCCCGGCAGGGGCCACACGGGCCGGGGCAGGACTGGGGAGGACAGGATAAACGTGCGTGCGAGGTACTTCCCCAGGACCCGGCCAGGGCTCACAGAGCAGAGGGACTCGCCAACCTGGGCATCGCCTCCCTACACCTGCCTCAGGCACCACCCCGCAGCCCCAGCCCGGGAGCCTCACTTCTGCACGTTGGGGTCGGGCAGGTTCTCCCGGTGGATGACCATGTGGGCGTGGTAGGTGGCCTTCAGGGCGAAGCGCCGGTTACAGGTGCTGCAGCCGTAGCCCTTCTCCTTGTGCACCTCCATGATGTGCTTCAGGTACTCCTTCCCGCGGCCGAAGGTGAGCTGCGGACAGGCGCAGGGCTCACCACACGCACAGCCTGGCCTCTGCGCCTCCCACCAACGTGCAGGGGCGCTGGAGAGAGCCCGTCACCCGGCAGGTGAGGAGGACACTCCCAGGGGCCGGGCCAGCACTGGGCGACACTGCAGCAGGTGTGTGTGTGTGTGTGTGTGCGCGTGTGTGTGTGAGAGACAACTGTGAGACGTGGGCCCCAGCTCCTCCTCCCCAGGCCAGCCAGGCCCTGCCCCCAGCTCCTCTCTGCCCACCTGACCTCTGTGTGTCTCACTCATGCCGGAGGGCCCTGAAAGGAGCCCAGCCAGCTGTGGGGACGGGCACATGCTCACAGAACACAGGCACCTGCAGGGTGAACTGTGCTCTCTCAGGCAGTGGAGCCCAGTGCAGGGGCCACCTCTTGTGCAGAAGGCTGCCGAAATGGAGCCCGGGGCCCTTGAGAACAGAACCACCCCCTCTGAGCATGTCCAAGGGCCACTGGCCTGAGAGGAGGAGCAGAGGGGAGAGGAGAACCCTTGTGCAGCCAACCTCCAAGGAGCCAGATCCAACCCGGCTAGCCACATAGCTGTGTGCAGACTAGTCAGGGACTGGTTCCCAGACGGTGATCCAGGTGACAGCAGTGAGGCCATGCACCATCCCTAAGAACCCAAGTGACATGGGGCAGCCAGCAGGACACCTGTGACACTGCCCGGCCCATGCAGGTGGGGCCCCCACCTGGGACCCGGCCCACCGAGCCTGAGCCTGTCGGGTCTGCAGCCCTGTGGTCCAAGCTTCCTTTCCTGACACTCCCTGCTGTCAAGTTACCTGACACCTTTTGCAGCTGTACTTGTGAGGCTCCGAGTCTGCACTCTCGTCGGAATTATCATCGTTTTCTTCTGAGGAGATGCCGATCTTACCAATGAACTCTTCCCTTTGGTGGTCATCCATCAGCGCGATGTCCTGGAAAAGTCAAAGTCCGACTCCTAACGCCTGGCAAAGCGTTAATGGATTATTTATCCACAGCAGCAGGGAGGCTCACCCACAGAGAAGGCGGCGCCTCCCCAGGGGTGGGAAGTCCTACTGAGCTCCCATCTGTTACAACCTTTGTGGGCCCAATGCAGACGCTCTCCCTGGGGTGACCTGCACACACTCCACTTCCCTGATGGTAAACCCATCAGGCCCATTCAGGTAATCCTGCAACGCCCAGCACCGACGCCCACTGAGGGCTGGGGGCAGGGAACTGCGAACTCCCTGCCATGGAGCACTCAGACCTGCCAGGTCCTTCTTATCTGTTGGGTCTAATTTAATGCTCATGGAAACCCACTTTCTGTGGCAGGACTCAGAGAGAAATGTGGAGGCTCAGAAGGGTGACAGGACTAGCACCCGCGGGTCCTGGCTTGGACGTGGCAGGGTCCCAGTGAGGTCTAAGCTCTTCTCCCCTGAGACTCTTTGCCCCCCCTTGGGCCCTTCCTTCCACCCCAACTTGTTCCATGTGGCTCTGCACCTGCATTGGGAGCCTCCCACATTCTCATGTCTCACCCCCCACTTTCTCTCCTACCTGCCCAGCAAAACCCCAACCTATGCCTGGGGCTGGGAACTGCCCCCAAACAGTCACTGAGCTGCAGGCAGACGGGTGTCTAGGGTGTGTGCTCCCAGCTTCACTTGGGGCCTCAGCACGACCTGTCATGTCTGTTTTCCCTGGATCGGCACTTCTCCTACCCCTTAATCATGACCCCCAGTCCTCACTGCCCACCCCCAGCTCCGGTCAACTCCTCACTTTCCTCAAAGGCAGGGAGAAGGGAAGCAGGCGCCACCATCCCGTCCACCGGGGGGAGGATTTTAATGGGAGCCCTGCAGGGGCTGCATGAGACCAGCAGTCTCAAGGGCTCATCTGAAAGACGCGCTGTGGCCAAGCTGACAAGTGTCAGGACGTTGGCCCGAGGGCCCGCCACGCCCACGAGAGCTCCCGGGAAAGGGGATGCTGGCCGGCACCTTGAAGTGGACGTGGATGTGGTCCCTGAGCACGTCCACACGGAAGAACTTGCGGCCGCAGATCTCGCAGGTGTACTTCTTATCGCCGTGGGTGAGCAGGTGCTTGTTCATGTTGCTCCGGCAGGAGAACACCTGCGGGCCGAGAGGCGGGTGTGAGGCCCTTCCACAAGTGGGCCTTCGCGGGGTAAACCACAGCCAAACAAACGGTTTCCGTTTCCTCTTGAAAAGGTCCAACACTCTGGGAATGTGGCCACAGGCGGCAGGCTGGGCCAGGTTACCACTAGCTGCCCGCCTGCGGCCACCGCTCCCCACTGTCCCAACCTGGCAGCTGCAGAGGGTCCGTGGTTCCAGGGCCCTAGCGCTGGGTGGCTCCTGTGGATGGCACGTGGCTGAGACTCAGCAACTGTGCCCATGCACAGGCTGGTGGTTACATCCCTCACACCGCCTGCTTGCAGTGGCGCAGAGCCCCCTTGGGAGCCCCTCTGGGAACTCCCTGCAGCAGGTGCTCTGCACACCGAGACGGATATGAATTCTAGTTCTGGGCACACCGCTGACCTCTGCACATTCTCGAATTGTGGGAGCTGAGTCTGAGGAGAGCACAAGACCACAGAGCTCATTCACAGAGAACACCACCTTTCTGTGGCACCTTGCGTGGCCTGGACAGCAGTGCCAGGACAGGCTCCAGCTTAGTGCTGACATGGGCCTGCACTGCCGGTCAGTGCCCGGGGACGCCTCTGATGGGCACCAGATTTCTGGACAGTTAAGGTCCAGCTTATCTGCTAAGGAGTCGGCCTCTCTGCTGGCCTCCATCAGATGCAGCCTAGACGGATCTGCTCACAAAGGTGACGTCACACTTAGCTCACTCAGGGACTATGCCACAGAACATCCGTGGCCATGGGGTTGTTGGTGCTGTCACTCAAAAATGCCACAGCACCAAGGGACAGAATTAAGCCCTCAGGACCTCCTGCTTCCCTGGCATGCTCACTCTGGTCTCTGCCACAAGGACACCTGTGAGACACTAACGAGGAGAATGTGAGAGTGTGAGCACCAGGAGCACACAGGTAGAAATAGTGGCAAAAAGGAAAAAGGCTCTGAAAGAGAAAACACTTCTTTCTAAGCTCATTCACTGGAAACCCGGCTCGACAGCAAAAGATCAAAATGACAAGGGTATGAATGAGTGGACACTGCAGCTTGAGACAACCCGAGTGTCCGTTTACTCCCTGAACTTCCCCCCGGATGCTCAGTGGGTAGAGCTCTGAGACTTAACTTCGGGAAATGGTGAGCTTTGTATCTGGACTACAGAGCAGCGTGAGCATTACCTTGCCACACACGGGGCATCCCGAAGGCTCCTTCTTGTAGCGGACCAGGCTCTCCCCGCTGGGCTCCAGGTCTTCTCTCTTCACCCGCCTGACTCCTGAAATGCCCACCCGCCCAAGCGAGAGAGTAAATACGTGAGATCAGTCAGTTCTGCTGCAGCCCAGTGCCCTTTCGGAGGACGGGAGACAGCTGCCCACAGTGTGGGGACAAGTGAACGGGTGGGTGGCATCACTTGACTGTGACGTGGGCATCAGCGCTAACTGCGGCTCCTACACAGGCGCCCGGGGAGAGGAGAGACTGCACACGCCCACGGGGTGCGGGACATGGTTCTGCATCTGAAACATGTGGACATATGAGGGTGGCAAGTGTTTCCCATTTCACAATGTGTAAGAGTTACAATGAACTACCATAGGGAAGGTGTTTGTACCCAGTCGAAAGGTTCAGGATTCTCCTGGGCGGCTCTAAGCAGGCAGGATTTTTATTAAAAAGAGGCTAACCTTCATCCTTCAAATTAAATAAACTGAATCAGGATCAGTGTACAAAGTCAGATGGTAATAAAATCTTATACTTTTCAGGCATAACTGTTCATAACTGAGATCGAAACAGACTTTTACAAGTTTGTGGGAAATAGGTTATCTTTGAACAAGAGAAACAAATTCACTTCTCATGGCCTCTTTTTCTATGTGGCTGGCCGGTCTGGGTCATTCCCTCCTAACGCGGTGAGTGCGGCGCCGGACATGAGAACGCCTGAAAACACGCGTCTGCAAAGGCTGCCGGGCACGCGGCGCGCCGGGCCAGAGCGGCACTCACGCTGCGCGCCTGCCCGAAGGGAAAGCCACGGAACGGCCGCGGCAGCAGCAGTTTATCCCGGCAGAAAACAACGAGCTACATGTCACTTGTAAAAGAAGGTTGTAAATACAACCTGGGTACCGGTACCTGTCAATCAGTCAGAAAACACCTGACTTCTAGCTGTGCCGAGGGTGGCGGCCTAGGGAGTCAGGCAGGACGGTCATCCCCACCACACGGGAGGAAACTGAGGCACCTAGCACACCCGAGGCCACCCAGTCACCGAGTTTGGCTTCCGAGTCCTAAGTGCACCACCCAACAAACCACAGAGGAAACAGTGGTGGGCCTCACGAGACCACACGCAGAAGGGCCGGGGGAAGGAGCAGGGTGGACGAACCGACTCCCGTCTGGGTAAGAAAGGCGTGGGACGCGCGCACGCTCGTGTGGCAGTCGGGCTCTACACACAGCTGAGGTTTGCTGAGGTTTTTCCCAACAAGCACATACAGCAGGTCCTCAAATAATGTCATTTCATCACAACGTGGACGAGATGCTGAAGGAGCTTAACTCCTGTTTACACCAATTAGCCTGTAGTAAAACTGGTCCTGTTATATGTCGTTTTACTGAAGTCGCAGAACCCACTGACGATGTTAACTGAGGACTTAGCTGTACTTCATTTGCAATTCTTTAGAAAATGATTTTTTCAAACTTTTATAAAAAGATGCTTTGCTCAGTGAGGGCTGGTCAGCAAGAGGCAGAGCCTTAGGGTAAAAGTCAGGGCTGCCATCACTAAATGCTCCCTTTGAAGGTATGTCTGCGTGGGCTCTTCAAGGGAGTCTCCCGGGGGGTCAGGACACGCCAGGTGCTTCTCTGCTTAGTGCTCACCCTTCCCATTCGGGGTGCTGCCTGCACACTCAGGGTCTGCCCTGCCGGGACCCCCATACTTTGTTCCCAGTTCCACTGTATTCCCTCATCTCACCCGTAACGGGCCCCACTGAAGTCCATTGGGCTCTGGCACCTGACCTCTCAGAGACCCCCACATGGACAGGCAGCCCCTGTGCCCCAAGCCCACTACAAATGACCAAGGCATCGGGGTCCCCTCGGGATACAGAGAGGAGCGAGGGAACATCAGTCAGGGCCCCCCAGGACAGCCTCTGCCAGGAACACTCTGCTCCACACGCGTGGCGGAAAGCTTACCCCCTGCACGGTTTCAGACAGTTTTTTCCTACTTTCTATCACGTGGAAAGCATTTTCTCATAATATTAAAAAACTTTGAAAAAACATTTTAAATGACTGCATAGCACTGAATCCTACAGAGAGCTGGTTTCCTTAAATCTTTCCCTCCTGAGCGCATAGTACGTTCCCAACTGCTCCCACTAACACCCGACACTACGGATCCTGTCCCCCTGCCTGAGATGAATTCCCACGGCACGCAGCCAGCTGGGCCAGCTCCCCCCCCC